CTCTGACCCTCCCCCTCTCATGTGCTTTCTCTCTCTCTCTCTCTCTTTCTCGCTTTCTCAAATAAATAAATAAATAAAATCTTAAAAAAAAAAGAATAGGCATTGTACACTGAGAAGGAAATTCTAAAACAAACAAATGTTGGAGATCAAAAACTGTAACAGAAATGAAGAATGCTTTGGTGGGCTTATCAGCAGACTGCACATAGCTAAGAAAAGAATCTGACTTGAAGTTCTCTCAGAAAAATCTGGGCAGGGCGCCTGGGTAGCTCAGTTGCTTAAGTGTCTGCCTTCGGCTCAGGTCATGATCCCAGGGTTGTGGGATCAGGTCCCTCGTCAGGCTCCCTGCTCAGCAGGGGGCCTGCTTCTTCCTCGGGCCCCCCCCCCCATGAAGAAATAAATAAAATCTTTAAAGGAAAAAGAAAAACCTGGGAAACTAGGAAAAAATAAATGGAAAGGCCTGAAAAAAGCAGACTCCACAACTATGGAACAACCACAAAAGCTGTCAATTACAAATTATAGGAATAATAGAAGAAAGCAAGCAACAAAAGAAATTGAATAAATAATAACCCTCCAAAACAGAACGTAGCACCCTCAGGTGGATTCAGAGGGTAGAGGCAGAGCATAAGCCCCAACTCCTAAGAACCTAGCACTACCCTAACACCCAAACCAAACAAAGCAATGACAAGTAAAGAAAACTTTAGACCCTATCTCTCATGAACATAGATGTGAAAATCCTCACCGAGATGCCACCATCCACCTATTAGAATGGCCAAACTCGAACACTGAAAACAGCACAGGCTGGTGAGGATGTGGGGACAACACCAACTTTCATTCCTTTCTGGTGAGAACAGTACAGCCACTTTGGAAGACACTTTGGCAGTTTCTTACAGAACTAAACCTACTCTTACCCTACCTGGCAATTGTGTTCCTTCGTATTTACCAAAAAAGTTGAAAACTTGGGGCCATGCAAAAATCTACACGCAATTGTTTCTAGCAGCTTTATTCATAATTGCCAAAACTTGAAAGCAACCAAGATGTCTCCTTAGTGGGTGAATGGATAAACAGTGATACATGCAGACAATGGAATATTGTTCAGTTCTAAAAAGAAATGATCAAGCCATGAAAGAATCTTAAGTGCATATTACTCAGTGAAAATAGCCAATCTAAAGAGGCGTCATACTGTATGATTCCAGAAAAAGCAAAGATATGGAGAGAGTAAAAGGATCAGTGGCTCCCCAGTAATGAGTGATGATGGAATGGAATCAGAGGACTTTTAGGGCAGTGAAACAGTATCTATGTGATACTGTGATTATATTATTATGAATTTGCTCAGACTCAGAATGTGTACACCTAATATGTACAATGTACTCTGGGTGATAATGATTTTCAGTTATAACAAAGGTACCATTCTGGTGGGGGATGTTGATAATGGAGGAGGCGCTGCATTTGTGCAGTCAGGGGATATATGGGAGATAGCTACCATCCTCTTCATTTTCTTATTAACCTAAAACTGCCCTAAAAGAAAACAAAGGCCTTAAATCATATATATATATATATTTATATATATGTAATTGGACCACATTGGCAGTGCCTTAGTAAACCTGGGTTTTACTTCCAATCCTGCCACTAACTAGCCCTGCAAGCAACTTCCCTACCTGGGCCCTAATTTAATTTTCAGCAAAGGGAGGAAGTGGGCCTTGGGATTTTCGCGTTCCAACTTTCTGCAGTCAATACTAATTGTTTCTTTCTACTTTAAAGCTATAAAGGGCTATCTCAATCTTTGCAGGATTTGTCTATTAGATCAAATAAAATGGAATAATATGGACATACACAAAATAATAATGTCTATTTAAAAATATCAGAAAGGGGCACCTGGGTGGCTCAGTCTGTTAAGAGTCTGCTTTGGTTCAGGTCGTGATCCCAGGGCCCTGGGATAGAGCCCCGCATTGGGCTCCCTGCTCCGCGTGGAGCCTGCTTCTCCCTCTGCCCCTCTCCCTGCTCGTGCTCTCTCTCAAATAAATAAATATTAAAAAAAATAAAAAGATCAGAAAGTTACAAGTTATCAATGTTTTTTAAACAGTTTAATTCAGGCATAATTGACTTAAGCTGCTCATATTTAAAACCCAACATTTTGTAATTTACATGCTTATGGTATTAAAAGTTTCCTTCTACCCTTTGTAATTTATCCTCTTGCTATAGGAAATTACTCAGAACAGGACATATTCTACCCTTTGTAATGGCATTTTCAAATACATTCCCAAAATGGAAAAGACTATTAGGAAGTTGTTATTCTATCATTATTTATCATTTTATGGTCAATTCTTTCATCTACCCCCATGCACTTAGTGGTTTATTTATGATCCCAAACATGAATGTCATTCACACCTACCCCATTCAAAATGTGTTTATAAAATGGAAATGCTCCTATATGACTCCAAAAACTTTTTTACAATAAAAATATTTGAAATTATGAAAAGTCATTTTAAGTGCTGGGTTTCGTCAGCTGTGTTGGTTATTTAGCGCAGATTGATTTCAATCAGGATGGGAAATTTAGCCATAGGCAAGTATTAGGTGAATCTTGCAAGTCATCTTTTTTTTTTTTTTTTTTTTAATTCAGTAGGCTCCATGCTCAAATTGGGTCTTGAACTCATGACCCTGAGATCAAGAGTCACACGCTCTACAGACTGAGCCAGCCAGGTGCCCTTCTTATGAGTCTTTTAACCCACTTACCACTTGTTGGTTTTTATTGTTCACTTGGTGAGGTTGCCAGGCCTTTTGTCTATTAGAATTTGCTACAGTGTAGATGTGGCTTGTTGATTTGTTCATGCTCCACCTCCGCCTACATTTCTTTTTTTAAAGATTTATTTATTTATTTATTTGTCACAGAGAGAGCACAAACAGGGGGAGCAGCAGAGGGAGAGGGAGGCATGGAGCCCGATGTGGGGCTCGATCCCAGGACCCTGGGATCATGACCTGGGCCGAAGGCAGACGCTTAACGACTGAGCCACCCAGGCGCCCCCCCCAGCCTCCCCCTACATTTCTTGTACACTAGCTTTGCTCAACATCAAGAACCATCAGGGAAATGCAGCCAGGACCACCGTGAGATACTGCTACACATTTACTAAAAGCATTCACTTTTTAAATGACCAACCAAACCCACTATTAGCAAAGATACCAGAGAATTGGAACTCTCATACACTGCTAGTAGGAATACAAAACGAATAATCATTTTCCAATAAAATTTGGTGTGCTTTATGAGGTCATACCTTCACCTACACTATGACTCAGATGTTAACACAATAGAAAGGAACCCTACCAACAGGAAGAACAGTATCCAAATTTTGCTTTTTTTTTTTAAAGAAAGGGTTTTAGTGATTTTTGGGCTGGCTGCAATTCATTCATTCATTCATTTATATTTATTTATCCAGAAAGCATCAGTGCGCATGCTCAAGCAGGGCAGTGGGGGGCAGTTGCGGGGGAAAGATGGGGGAGAGAGAGAGAGAGAATGTTGAGCAGGCTCCACACCCAGGGCGGAGTCCAATGCTGGGCTCCCTGGGCTTGATCTCACAACCCTAGGATCATGACATGAGCTAAAATCAAGATTTCAGAAGCTTAATCCAAGGGGCGAGCAGGTGCCCCTTCTGCAGCAGTTTTACTTGCAGCCCGCCAAACTGGAAACAGTTAAAATATCCATAAAGAGAAGAATACATAAATAAATCGTGCTATATCGATAGGACCTACTTCTCGAGGATATAAACAATGAACTACTCATATAAGCACCACAGATAAATTTTTAAAAATGTCACATGAGGGGACACACAAGGAAAGGACGATGAAACACTTTTAAGACTCCAATCCTATAAATTCTAGAAAATGCAAACTCATCTACTATAATGGAAAGGCAATGGGTGCTCCGAGGAGAGATTATTAAAGGACAAAAAGTAAATGTGGGGGTGATGAAAAGGTTTATTATCATGATTGATGGCTTCATGGGTTTATGTGAAAGTCAAAATGTCAAATTGCACAATTTAATGATGGACATTGCATGTCATTTGTACCTTACTGAAACTTAAAAAAATATGGTTAAAATTTAAGTCTGGATTCCCTATGCTTCAGAAGATTAAGTTTGGCCACCATACTGATTCCACCATCTTTCTCCTCATCAAAAGGCATTTGCAAAAACAGGTGAGCAATGAAGGTATTCCGAGTTCATTCAACAGGGTTACCAGCTGAGTCAGAGAAGGCCTCTTGGCTGCACTAAGCGTTCTCTCCTGTTTCCGTCCTTCCTTTGCTGCCATGCAAAACCATGGCCTTTGGTGAACAGCCCAGAGGGAACAAGGAATCCACAAAACCTTTAGATTATTGTTTTCTGACAGGCCCTCAGCTGCACAAGATACATCCTTGTGCAGGTCCTGAGAATCTCTCTACCTGCTCATCTTCACAGTCCTAGTGCCTAAACACTGTGCATGCCCTTTTCAAAGAGGCACATTCAACTCGTTCACTGGTCTCCCGCACTCTCTCTTAATATATTCAGGGTTTCTGTACCAGCAATCATTCCCCTGGCCCTTAGAATCTTAAAACCAGTGATGTTACTCTACAGAATTCAGGACATCAAGGCCCCTGGCTCCGCTGCTGGGTCTGAGGAAGAGATTTCCTTCACCAGCACCGAGCACCATGCCATCAGTGTCCCTTGTGAACAAGAGAACAAGACCATGCCGCTCAGAAGCACTGAAGGTTGTCAAAACAACCACCAACGACTGCCCCCTCTTCGGGTCGAAACTCTGACCCCACAAAATATCCTGGCATCCAAGTATAAATTAGGACCACAGAGCCCTACAGTCTTTCCTTAAAGGCTTTGAGCAGCCATGCAAAGTAGGCCCAAACTGGAGAGTTATCTTCTGCCATCATACGGTCCCTTCTGAGGCACACAACTCTGTTCACCCCTTCACGCTCACAAACACAGTTAATTTCAACACACACAGAATCCCTATGATTAATGGTGGCTTAAACAATAAGATCTTTATTGTCATACAGCAAGAGCAACGGGAGGCAGAATGTTCCTGGGTTGGTGATTTGGAGGCTGGGAAATGCCATCACAGAGTCTCATGAGGACAGTAACAATCCTGAAAAATGTCGTCCACCTTTTCAAATCACCGACAGTCCCGCAGGACAAAACTGGGGGAGATGCATGCCCTCTCCTCAGAGAGGAAAAACGGGGAAGGAGTAAGCGCTCAGGCTATTCATTAGTCATCCAGCAATTGCCCTGACACTGGGGCACGGCCCCTGGGCAGGTTCAAAGACTGCAATGCAGCTGCCACATACCCGGGATTTATGTAGATGTCTGACTGTATGAGCTTCAACACAGGCAGATGGCACCTTCATAAGGGATCTCCTCCCGTGTTGTCACATTCATCAATTAAATACCTGCACATTTAAGGTAGTTCTCCCCTTTGAAATTTGTGAAGTCCTATGAGGTAAAGTCCTTCAGATGAAGGCTTTCTCATATTCACTGCATCTGTAAGGCCTTTCACTACCGTGAGTTCTCTGGAGAGCAATGAGGCTAGCCTTTGGTTAGCCATCTCCCACATTCTTCACATTCACAGGCCTTCATCTAAGGAGACACTGTGGTGGTTTAGGAGCTTGGACTCATAGGTAAAGAATATCCCACGTTCCAACACTCATAAAGCCGTTTTCAGTGTGAGTATTTGAATGGGCACTGAAATGGAAGACAGAGGCGAACGTTTCCCAAAGTCACTGTCCTCCTAAACCCTTTCTCCAGTGTGCACTTTTCGGTGCTTAATGAGACTAGAACTGTGGCTAAAGGATTTCCCACATTCGCTGCACTCGTAAGGTCTTTCTCCAGTGTGAATTCTCCTGTGTTTAATGAGACTGGAGTTTTGAGTAAAGGATTTCCCACATTCACTGCACTCATAAGGCCTTGATCCAGTATGTACTCTCTGGTGTTTGAGGAGACTGGAACTGTAAGTAAAGAATTTCCCACATTCGCTGCACTCATAAGGCCTTTCTCCAGTGTGAACTCTCCGATGTTGAAGCAGCGCGGAGCTTTGGCTAAAAGATTTCTCACATTCGCTGCACTTGTAAGGCCTTTCTCCACTATGAACTCTACGGTGTTCGATGAGGCTGGAGTTTTGAGTAAAGGATTTTCCACATTCACTGCACTCATAGGGCCTCGATCCCGAGTGAACTCTCTGGTGTTTTATGAGACTGGAGTGGTAGGTAAAGAATTTCCCACATTCACTGCACTCATAAGGCCTTTCTCCAGTGTGAACACTGCGGTGTTGGAGGAGCGCAGAGCTTTCGCTGAAGGACTTCCCACATTCACTACACTCATACGGCCGTTCCCCAGTGTGAATTCTCCGATGTTTAATGAGGTTAGACTTGTTACTAAACAATTTGCCACATTCGTCACACTCGTGAGGCCTTGCTCCAGTGTGAACTCTCCGGTGCTGAATGAGGCTAGAGCTCTGCCTGAAGGACTTCCCACATTCCCCACACTCATAAGGCTTTTCCCCAGTGTGCACTCTCCAGTGGTCATTGAGGCTGTAGCTTTTGCTAAAAGATTTCCCACATTCACTGCACATGAAGCATCTCTCTCTAGCGAGGTCTCTCTGGTGGTGAACAAGTGTGTGTTTGCAAGTGAAGTCCTTTGCGCCTTCCCAGTTGCGTTGCGCTTTCCTTCCACGAGAGGATGCCCCATACTCCGTCGTCCTGTATGACTTCTCCCTGCTGTGTGTGGCCTGCTGCTGGAAGAATCTCGAGGTGGCCAAGATGTCCCTCTCAACCACCCCACAGGAAAAGGGTTTCCCTGACACACACAATTTGTAGTCCTTCACAAAAGAAGCTCTGGCCATGTTGCCTCTGAAGCATTTCTCTCCAATGTGCTCCTTCTGGTGCTGAAGGTTTGCTTCAAAACACAACTGTTTCTCACATGCCTCAATCTTGTAGAGATTCTGTCCACAAAGTGTTGCCTGGTGCTCGGTGGAGAGCAAAATGTCTCTCAAGTCCTGGCCACACACCTCACGAGAATGGGCCTTCTGGGGAGACACAACTGCCTTGAAAGTCCTGACCTGGGACACGCCTTGTACGGAAACCTTCCGCTCAGGTGCCTCCTCATCCTCCGCACCATGCCTACAACCTGAAAGCAAGAAACGCTGGTGAAGTGCATGCTGCCTCTGGTGGGAGGAGGCAGCTACTCTATGCGCTACAGATGTGTGTCTAAGAACCCCAGGAACCAGTGCTTGGGAGTGTTTGCAGGACCAGGGAGATGGCTCAGGTGGAGGATGGGGCTGCTTAGCAGTAGCAGGCTACAAGGAGCACAGAATGGGAGAGGCCTCATGAGGGGAAGGACGCAAGCACGTGGTGTGACACGGAGAAGAGAAATGGTCTGCAATTCATTCCTCCGCAAACAACTTTCCAAAGGAACTTATCTCCTACGGACACACCTTTTCCCGCGCAGACAGGTGTGACAAGACCCAAGGAAATAGGACTGTAACCTGGCAGGTGGTGTTCAGGGCTGCTTTAAGAACACGGGCACACTTGGGCCGCCTGGGTGGCCCAGACGTTAAGCGTCTGCCTTCGGCTCAGGTCATGATCCCAGGGTCCTGGGATCGAGCCCCGCATCGGGCTCCCTGCTCAGAGGGAAGCCTGCTTCTCCCTCTCCCACTCCCCCTGCTTGTGTTCCTTCTCTCACTGTCTTTCTCTGTCAAATAAATAAAATCTTTAAAAAAAAAAAGAAAAAGAACACGGGCACACCTCATGACGTACTATACAGCGGCCAATGTGCAAAGCACTGCAGGTGGAGTGGTGAGAAAAACGAGGGAGATGTGGATCCCAGAAACGTGAGGTTAACCCCAGGCCAGAAGTAAGAGCAGAAGCGACAAGTAACAGAGTTGGCAAATCGGCAGAGTGCCAAGAAAGGGGAAGAGAAGACAGAAATGAAATGTGGCCCCTGGCATCATAATACCAGTCAAACAGAACAGCTTCCGGTCTGATCTGAACACAGCACGGACACCGTCTTCCTCCAGGTACCACTTTGCAGGGCCTGGCTTCCTCTGAGCCGTCGTGTTGTGTGTGGGTCGGTGTACCTACTGTGAACCACCCTGGGCTCTCCAATCCAACCCCACTCCCACAATCAGCAAGTGCATGGCAACTTCACGATACAAGTGCTAAGGAAAACAGAGGACAGATGACTAGCCATCGGTATCCCAGAACGACTCAGCACATGACAGCCCATGGCAAAGAGAACTAAACAGTTCCCGGAGAGGTCTGGAAGAGGGTCTCATGAGAACAGCCCATGGTCCACGGATGTAGTAACTTTGTCACAGACAGCAAGTCCTGGCGCAGGGAGGCACAAGGAAGCCTCAGGAGAGAAAGGAAGCAGACGTGGAGCATGCAGATATCTTGCATCGAGACAAAGTCACCCGGTCAGGGAGAGGGCAGGTAAGGGGCTATCCATTAGGTTCACTGCAAGACTCCTGACCCTGATTCCTTCCCTGCAAGTCAGCAGGAAAGCTGGTGTCGGGGCCGCTCAAGGAAGGAGGGCAGTGCACTGACCTCAGCCTTACCAACCACAGCACCTACCCCGCGAACTGGGGAAGGAAGCAGTGCTCACGGTCCCTGTGTAAAGACAGACTGCTCCTGGGGACAAAGGGAAGGGCAGAGACTAGCTCAGGGCACAGGGGGTGGGGGTGGAGGGTCTTACCCAAGGAGGTTATAAGTGCCAAGTTCTCCAGCATCACATCCTGGTACAGACATCTCTGAGCCTCATCAAGGAGACCCCATTCCTCCCAGGAGAAGTACACGGCCACGTCTTCAAAGGTCACCCTGCCCTGGCAGGATGGGGACAGATGAAACCACAAAAAGCCCCTCTCCCAAGAACCCATACCCCTTTTCCCACCCACATCTACCCTATGCCCATCCTCCCCCTGATCTCCCCAACCGAGAGGAGAAACCAGGCCCCCGTGCCTGGGTGCCATGGCACCACCATGTCTCCTCGTGGCCCACCGATCGCAGGGTCCCGCTGACACAAGAGGAGGCAGGTGGACAAGCATATATATATCGAAGTTGTGGCCCTGGCATAGAGGGATCTTCCTGGCCATCCAGGTTATTCTGCTGAAAACCAGGGCCCTGGCGTCAATCAGGCATACTCCCTCTCCAAGGACACATCGTTCTTGAGACTGGATCCCACAGCCACATGCCTATGGTCACCACACCTCACTGCCCCACACCACAGAAATCTCCCTGGCCTCCCCACGTGTTACTGGTATTTTAACCACCTCCGCTTCACCCCACTGGGGAGGGTGGGAGTCCCATCTTAGGGTTATGGGGATGGCCAAACACAGAACACCTAACACTGGACAGATGAGATGGATGGCACTTCAGTAATCACAGATATTCACAGCCTGGGAGGGGACACCACAGCCCACACAGGCCCACACGGGGGTGGCACTCTGGAAAAAAGTGACAACCAGGAGCTGTAGGATGCACGCTTCACAGGATCAAGAGGGTGAGGTGCCTCCCGGTTCCTGTAAGAGGATGTGTAAGTCCATGGGCTGGTAGGGCGCTGAGACCCGTACAAAGGGAAAAGCAGGAAATGCACCTGTGATGAAAAGGCAGTTTGAGCAGGAGACCTTCCCAACAGCAGAAGAGTGGGAGGGGATCTCACACTCGGGCCGTGAGTTCCCCCGCCTCTCACCAGACAAGGTTCTCCCGCACCTGTGCTGCCCTGGTCCCCTCGGCAATCACGGTCTTCCTCTGTCCCCCGACCCTCATTCAAAGCAAGGCTCCTTGGTGGCCTAGCCCAGGCTCAGTGTCTCTCACAGGTGATCACATCAGCACGGCACACGTGACCTTACTCCTCCAGGATGAAAGTCTTCACAAAACCCTGGTGCAGTTCAGAGTGCAGGAGCACCCCATCACGGGCCTGAGTGTCATCACCTTGCCTTAAGTACTCCCGAACTTCTGGGTCCCTCTCACGTCTACTCTTCCGCTGGAAACCTTGGCCACCTGCCCGAGTATCCTGCCCCCGACGCGCTCGCCCTCTGTGGCCACCCACATCCCTCATCTCTGAAGGCACACCATCACCTACGCATCCGGTCCCGGTCCCCCTTCCTCCCACCACTTTCTGGCCCCATGACCAGCTTTACCCCCATAACCAGAGACTGCTCCTCACACCTGTGACCTACAGCTCACTCAGCTGGGCCCACACAGTAGCCATGATGTGTTTGGATGTCTCCCTTCTGAACCCCTCCCCACATTTCCAGACTTGCGTGTTCGGCGGCTCACTTAATGCATCCAGTCGGTGCTCTCCGGAACATCTCCCAGCAACATCACTCACACTACCGACCTCCTCGTCTCAGTCGATGGAGCTTCCATTCCTACAGCTGCTGAGGACTAAAACCCTAGAGATAGCCCCGAATCCTCCCTTTCACCGTGTCTCAGCCCACATTAGAAAGTCAGTGGTCACTTTTCTAGAACACATATCCAGAATCCAGTGACATCCAAGCCAGCACTCTGGTCCAAGAACCCTCACCTCGGCTATGACGGCGGCCTCCACCCTGGTCTTCCCGCCTCCTCCCTCAGCCCGTATCTCTACTTCACGCCACAGCAGGGTGGATCCCGTCGGGACCCTGGTAACATCACGTAGCTGCTCATACCCAAGCCTGCCATTACCACCAGAAGACACACCCAACTTCTCAGGCAGCCATTCCAGTCCTCACTGCCGTCTCTCTGCTCTTCGCTCCCAGCCGCAAGAAAAGAGAACGGTGGTTTCCCGAACGGTGCCAGCTGAGTGTTGACTCAGGCACGTGCACACCCTGCTACGGGTTCCCGGAATAACCGTGCACACACCGGTTGCCAGAAACGGAAACCGCTTCAGGGAACGCTTGGCTCGGGCTTGGGGTTTCTCCTCGGTCTCCAGACCCAACACTTGGGAAATGGCACTTAAGAGTCCCAGGACACAACAACGCAGAAGACAAGCGGGTGGGGGTCAGGTCGGGGCCAGTGCGGGACCGGGCCACCCCCCACTCGTTCGTGGTGGTGCCGTAAGCGCTTCTGCAGCGGCGGGAAATGGGGCGAGTCCGGCCCAGCCTTGGGCCCACAAGACCACGGCGGCTTCCACGGACTCAAAGCTCCCGGGTCCTCGCCCGGCCCTGAAGACTGTGACTCGGCTGGCTGGCCGTTCAAGCTCCGTGCCTCAGGGCTCAGGATCGTCCCTCAGGACGTGCCCCGCAGCTGGAGCCCGCTCCCGCGCGCCAGCGCGCCGGCGCTCGCACTCCGGGGCCCGCACTCCGGGGCCTGGGCCGCAGGGCCGCGAGCCGGCGCCCCGCGCTCGGCCTTCGGGGTCTGGGTGGGGGGACGGCGGGGAGGGCCCGGGGGACGAGCGCTTACCTGAGCCCGGGCCCTGGGCGCGGCCGCCGCCATCGGACTCGGTGGGCGGAGCGGACACCCCGGCCGGTGGTGTCTTTCCCGGCTTCGGCCCGGGGCAGCCCAGGCAGCGTCACCGAATCCCAGACCCGCCACTGTGGAGCGGGTCAGCTCTCCTCTCGCCCCTTCTAGGTCGTGTCAAGTCAGTATGGTTGCAGAATCCTTTTACTTGGTAAGCAACAGCAAGAGCCGCTATCCCGTTGGCTTTGAGGAGGCAGCCGGAAGTCCCGCCTGCGCGGGCCGGCCCCAGGCGGAAGAACCTCTTTTGAAGCTCTCATTGGAGAGCGATGCTGCCGCTCGACTCGGCATTCTGGGTAACGTAGTCCCCACAGTTCCAAGGCCCGGAGTTAGGGACTGCCTGCCGGGAAGGTCCAAGGTCCCGTGGGAATGGGGTAGGGAAAAGACCGATTCAGTGAGATTCGCTTCCTCTTTGAGGTAATGTAATCATATTTTTGCGCAGTGCTCTCTGCAGCTGATCACCCAAGTGTTTGGAGAAATTTCAGACCCAGCGAAGCTCAGCATACTCCCGGAGGCTAAGAATAATGTTCTGGATGCTCCCAAAGGCTACAAACCAAATAAACACATCATTCCCTAGAGTCTTTCAGACACTGATGTGTCCATGTCTAGTGGAAGCTAATAATTAGTGTCAGTTAGTGTCTCATCTTGGTCCCATTGATGACTGTGTCACCCCTCAACAATAGGCAGGTAGGCAGAGGGCACTTAAGCTCTGGACCTCCCATGCATGGCCACAACACCCCCTCTTTCCAGGCAATGCTTCTAGGGTTCCCCAGATCGCCTTTCCCAGACACCACCATCCATGGGGTGGCTATGAGGGCCCTGGGTCATAAGTTCACACTCCCTCTCCATGTGCACATCACTCTTTCCGCCACACCTCTCACAACTGCACTCCCACAGCCACAGCCCCTTCCTGTCCTACATCATGGTCATCTCCTCGGCCTCTCTGTTACTCAGCATACGTTGCCCAGAAAATGCTTGCCAGATTAAAACAGGATCAAGTAGTATCCTAGACTCTGATTTCCCCACTGACAGAGGCAGCCTTGAGTCCTACTATGAAGTCCTCCCTCCCTGTTCCTTGCTTCAACATTATTACCAAGCATCAAATCAGATTTCAGGTACCAGTGGCTCTGCTGCGGTTGTACTGCACTTGTTACCTCACCAGCCTTCCGAGTCCATGGATGGAGCAGAGTGGTAGAGGAGGGGGAACCTGGGCCCGGAGTTCCCTATCCCGGCCTGCAGTCAATCACCTCGATCCTTACTCAGCCTTTCGGAGCCTCTGATCCCATGGAGAAAACCTGGAGGAGAATGGGGGATGTCGGGCGCTAACATCATTCCCAGGCAGGGAAATGCTCCTCTCCTGGGCTTTCATTGGAGCAACTCAGCGGTCTTCAGAGCAGCATTTTCTGGGTAATTACTGCAGGGGCCTCCTGCAAGGGATGTCCTTAGTGTCACGTGGGGGAGAAGAGGTCTTGGGCACCATGAGGGGCACTGGAAATTGTAGAGATTTCAAGGCGGAGGGCTGGGGTCTTTGTGCCTTCTTAGAAGGGCCACAGGCATACTGCAGGGGAATCATGTCCACAACTCATTACTTTTGTGTGTAGAAATATAAGGGAGGAAAATGTTTTCCGCTACCCATCCTAAGTTCTCTCCTCAGGCTTTTATAACAAAAGATATTAACAAGAGAAAAACGTAAATTTATTAGCATGTATATCTCATATGTACACGACAGAGAGTCTGGGTTGAATAACTCAAAGACAGGGGTTTGTATTCAGTCTTCTATATCATCTTCAGCAATGGAACAGTACAATATTAGGGAAGTAGCAAGACAAGGGAAAAGTACCCAAGTCTCTAGGAGTGGCATATTGTGGGAAGGCAAACATGGGAAACTAATGTTAGATAAAGGATAGTTAGTAAATTGTGTTATGTAAATTGCTATGGTGCTGTCGCCAGGCTGATAGGGTCTAAGTTTGTCTTTGGTGATTGACTTTAGTCCTAGTAAATTTCTGTCCAGCTTTTAGGCAAATAGGCGGAGAGTAGAGTGTTTTTCTTGTTTTTGCTGCTTCTTAACTGCCTTTAGTTCAAAATAATTCTGTGTTGAGTGATAATGTGGAGTTATGAAGGACATCTAGTTTCACTGATGGAATCAGATCTTCACAAAGGACCAAATAAATGATGAAGAGAATGGCAGATACCCCTAGGGATCCTGAAAAAAAGCAAAAACAAAGCAGAGGGAAGACACTAGAATTTAGGGCAACTTTAAACAGGGCAACCCCAGAAGGGCTCTAAGAGAAGGGAATACTGGAGTGAGTCTAGAATGAAGTGAGGGAGGGAGCCATGGGGACAACAAATGAATAAAATGCTTAAATCTTGACAGTGATTAGCACTACAAGAGAACACAGGGCCTCTTGACCACTTACATCCAAAAGGACACATCACTTCTGCAATTATCATAGCCAAACAATTTAATGGACTCACTTTCCAAAATTAAGTAATTACCTTAAACAGGAAAATAGATTGTTATATATTTGTTTTGTGTAATTTCAAATCTAACTGTTCATGACTAAGCGAAGTTGTTGCTCCAGCCCTTGGCACTCAGTGCACAAATACCCAGTTAGCCTGAAATCAGACTGCACCTGTGTATAGTAGCTAGCATAGAACACGGGTAATGATATGTAGAGTTCTTGGAAATCCATGCCTATTCCCAGAACCCCACTTGAATAGTCCACACCCAAATTATAACCACCCTTAAGAATCAGAGCCCCAGGGCGCCTGGGTGGCTCAGATGGTTAAGCATCTGCCTTCGGCTCAGGTCATGATCCCAGGGTCCTGGGATC